AGCCCTAACCCGTGTATTTTACACCAGTTTAAAAGTACAAATCATATCATGACCTTCTCTCTTTTTATAATAAATTGTTTTTGCGAGTGGTATAAGTGCTCCTTAATTGTGTAATTCGGACGTTTTTATAAGTTTTCGCTCATCATATGATGTAATGTGCGCGTATACCAGTAACGAAGCAAGAATTGAGAGGAACAAAAATCCATACCTTTACACCAATTTCAGCTGCAGATTACCGCTCAACTAACACTGCAATCTTACTGTTTGAGCGATTGCTTTAGCCCGAACAGATTTATAGGCTCTTGCGCGATTACTCCGCACAAGAGGAGCAGAGATTTGTCTCTGAAATTTCTTCACATAAACATAACATCTAGAATTGCTGCCCGATCAAACCTTCTCTAATAAGCCATTTTTTTCCGCTCTGCTAGTCTAGTTCGCATATTGATCGTGCATAAGAACTGAAGTTTTATTGTTATTCGTGCTTTGGCTTATGAGATACTGTCTACATCTTACATAGTTGCCCTGTATGTGTAAAGTTCACGATTTCAACCATATCACCTCTCACAAATTCCTCGTATTTCTAATGCAAAGTATGACAGGCCTCACATGACGTTTTCCTGATGGTAACGCCAAAAGTAAGAAAAGAGGCGCGAAACTTCTTTAATTGCTCGGATTTGGAAGGAGCTGAAATCGAAAGCCAAGGTAAAGAAGGGACAGCTGGTTCCCATTGGGAAAAGCGCATTTTTGAGGTACGCTAAAGGATTTGCCAAAAGACCTAACGAAGTAAAGGATAATGTTTGAATAATTGTGGAAGATTTAACTCCGCTTACAGAACGAGGCTATGACGGGTGTTGCTACGCAGGTCTTCGCGCTAAGTCGTATTACATTGGCGCTTTTCGAGGACTCCGGATGGTACAACGTGGACTACGAGTGAGCCTTTATAATTTTGAAGTGTACGTATAAGTTAATATCGTTCCAGCAAAGCCGATACTATGAATTTTGGACGAGGACAAGGATGCAGTTTTGCAAAGCGAAGCTGCTTAAATTGGATAAAAAG